CACAGGGTGATGACTATTCAATCAAACTTCTAAAGATTCGGAGAAACTAAATTATGTCACAAGTTGGGATACAAAAGTAGTCTAAATTAAAATAGGAATAAAACAATTAATAAAATGACCTAGGGTTATGGTTCACCATGTTTATAGTTCTAAACCTATCAAATATCAATAACAATTCAATCAATTAATCATCTAGAGCAATTGCTAAGCCTATGATCGGGTCTTAACACTCTCAATTCAACATATGTAGTTTGGTCGCTAACCTTATCAGAATTGCATGCTAATTGTAGGTAACCCTCTAAAAGTACGATCTTTTGATTCAAACTCTTATTAACAATAATTAATCAAACAATTGATCAAGTTTCAAGATTAACAATATAAACTCTATCAATAATCAAAATATCAATCAAGATTCATCACATAAACATGGATTCCAAAACCCTAGAAATAGACTACACGCTTGGATTGAAATGGCCATAACTTCTGTTGTAGAAGTTATCTTGGGGCGGGTGACCTATCGTTGGAAATCTATTCAAGTCTAGTATTCAACTCAACTTGAATCACTTGAATCCAATATGTAGAACTCAAGTTATGCTCAAAATAGTGGACAAGGGTCAGTTTGCCCCTATGTAAATCGTCATTTAGCTTCGTTTCTAACTCAAATTCATTCCCAAAAGGTGCATAGCGACCCTTATGGATGCTATAACAATTTTTCATGCATATTATCATCAAAATTAGCATCCACGAACATAAACTATTCCATCAATAAACTCAATTAATCGACATTCCATCCAAATATCATCCAAATCAACCCTAAACATTCCGAAAGCATTCAAATGATTATTAAATCACCTGAAACATTAAGAAAACACAAACGTGTAATAAAGCTTAAAATGGACAACTTATGGAAAAATAACTTAAAAAGAGACTAAAAGACCTAAAAGCAACTATAAACGTAGCAAAAACGTAGCTATAAATACTATATAAGTATTATTCATCAATCTCACACTATTCTTAAGAGTTCTAAAAAAGAGGCAATTAACATTAGTGAGGACAAATAAGTAAATAAACATATTAAGGGGCATAAATAATCTTAACACTAGTCATAAAAAGAGAACAAAGATATTTAAAGGTAAATATATAAATTAATATTTTAATGGGCATAATTGTCTCAACTCTATTTATAAAAATGAAGTAACAAATACTCCTTCCGTATTTTATTACTTGCTCCACTTTCCTGTTGTGGCCGTATTTTATTACTTGTTTCATTTCCTTTTTCAGAAACCTTTCACAATATTTTACTCATTTCTTCTCTCCTAGTGGACCCTTCAACTATCATACTTAGCTTTAATATTTCTTATTCTCTCTCCTCCTAGCTATCATACATTATTTTTCCACCAACCCACTTCCTTCATATTTTATTACTTTCTACATACTATTTCTCCTAAAACGCCGCGCATAGAGAAATAGAGCAAGTAATAAAATACGAAGAATATTTAAAAGCTAAAAGCTAATTGTTAAATAATGTCATTTTATTTTATATAAGCAGCATTGTTGTATACTTGTACTGTATTTTTGTTTCAAACCTAATGATCATGCAAGAATAATACGAGTAACTTTGAGCTCACCTTATAACTTTGAGGTCGCGAGTTGGAGCCCCACCAACTACATTTGCTTGAGAGTAGAAGAATTCCCTTACCTCCCCTCTCTATACTTCTGCTCCCTTTGTCCTAAACTAGTTTGAACAATTTCCATTTTTATGCTCCCATCAAAAGTACTGGCTCCTCTGTTCATACGTGCTTGCAAACATTTTTGAATATATGTAAGTATTGTAACACTTTCTATTTTGGCATGAGACTACTATAATTTTATTCTTTCCAAATAACCTCACGGTCCTCACTTGCATAAATCATTATTACTTTTCCCGTTTTCAAAATAAGTGTTCCAAATTGACTTTTACATTATTCACATGTACCACTTTGATCTCCATTATCTCTTTATACATAAGATTAAATAGTCATGTTGATAGTGTTAAAATTGTCTTAATATATAGTTTTCAAATAACAACTTTTTGTAATATATACTTAATGTTGGGCCCCTTAGGTTTCTAAGTGATAACAAACAACTTAGCTGGTTGATGTTTATTTGGTATCATCAACTGTTTCCTCTTTGCAGTTTTAGCTAAATTTGAAGAATATAAGCCTTCTTGATTAATTGCAAGAAAAGATGGAATCAAAATGAGTTAATCAAAAGACTTGAAGAACATGAAGATCTCTTGGTTAGAGTGACAAAATGTTTTACATCTTAAGGGTAGTTGCTTACAAAAAAAATAATAATTAAAAAAATGAAAAAAAAATCAAGTAGTTGTTCACAAAACACGCCATCTTTGAGTACTTCCTAACAATATTTTCTTATAATTATGATAAAACATAGTCATGTAAGATTTCGTTTGAATCGTCTTAATGCAATTTTGTTAATATTTACTTTTTATAATATATGTTGTTACTATATTACTGTAATAAAAAAAAAAAACTATAGTCAAAGCCAATATATAAATAGTGAAAAAAAGTCCAACATGTCAATTATTTCGAAATGGAGGGAGTAATTTTTTCTTAAAATTATTTTTATGAAAACATATACTACGTAATAGGGTTGAGCAAAATCATCAAAAAACCAAATCGTAACCGATACAAACATTAGGGTACTCGATCCAATAACCATAATGGTTCGGGTACCCGATCCGATAATTTATTACCGGGTATGGTTATCAGGTATCATTTTAAATTTAATGGTTACCTGATCCGATCCGATAAGCAATTTTTTTTCCTGCTTAAAAGTATTTATCTAAAATCTAAACTCTTAATTTATTTCATAATCACTTAATAATTTAAATGATTAGTAATATTATTAATTAGTAATTTGATCAAAATCATGTGGTATTGTTGTTAATTAGTGTTGAATGATATCATTATAACAAAATTATAAAGTCTAAATTTTCATTATTGGATATCATATCGGGTATTCAATAACCGATCCGAAGATGAAAGTCCGAGTACCCGAACTTATCGGTTCGGTTCATAGATATCATTTTTTGTGCTATTGGTTATCAGTTACCCAAACCGATAGTGATAATGATTCGGGTATCCGACCATGCTCACCCCTACTAATTTGTGTCATATAATTTACAAAGTTTTAAATAGATTTGGTTTACATTAATTTATTGTGAACCACTAATATTAGAGCCACTATGATTGTTTTATTAATAATAAAAAGGTTACTATGTTAATTAAATTAAATATTAAAATGTTATAATAAAAGAAATTGTATTATTATAATGGTCATAAGAGATTGATTTTTTTTATAACAAAGTTTTAATACACCGATCAATAATATGAATAATAAAGGTCACTATATTAAAATTAAGGTCATTATGTTCAATATAATGTCGGCTGACACATGTGCACTTTAGTTCACAATCAGGTCACATAAGTTTTAATAAAGGCCACTATAATCATATTTCGGTCACTATGATCAAAATAATGCCAGTTGCATATGTATGGATCTTAGGTCCACTAAGTCTTTTTGCATATAATTTTGATAAACAATAAACCGAAAAATAGAAAACAACACCAATCTTTTATAATAATTGTAGAGTCATTTTTTAGCACTTAACCACAGCCCTCCAAAAGCCCAATTCTCAAATCGTATGCCTTTAAGGGTTTTTTTTTTTTTTTTTTTTTTTTTTTTTTTTTTTTTTTTTTCCTATAACCTTCAATTAAATAACTTCCACTTTTCTATTTTTCTAAAGAACTTCCACATCTCCTATTTTTTTTCTTTCTAAATATACATGCTACGTATATACCGTGCGTTAGGCCGTTAGCACGGATACACTTTTTATTTTTTTTTTGAAAGAAGCACGAATACACTTCATCACAACACTCCAAACCCCCAACTCTCAATTCTCATGCATTCTTTCCACAACTTCCTTTTAGGAAAAAAAATACTTACACTTATACTATATATATATATATATATATATATATATATATATATATATATATATATATATAGTACATTCGAGTATCAATCAATAACATAATACTAAAACAGACCACAAGAATGACACGTGTCACTTCATGGTTATGTTTTTTCCCTCCAAAACTCCTCTTTCAATTCCTTTTTAGCAAAAATCTTTTATTTTTGGTATATTTGTATAATACAGATATAATATTATATTATTCCTAATCCAATACATCATCTTTATAATGATTGTATTCCTTTTTATTTCGTGTTCTACTTACTTAAAATAGTTACACAAGATTTTGATACCTTTTGATTAATTAATGGAGAATAAGCTATAATTTAGAAGGTTGAAATATGGTGGAGAGTATAAAATAACGGACCTAAAAATACAATATTAACATTTAAATTACCATTATATAGTCGTACAATAGTGAGGTTCAATGAAAAATAAAATAAATTTTTTTCTATTCATGGTGTTGATTTGAAATCTTATGAAATAATAATAATTGAGTTAATTTTTTGTTAAATAGTTCTGTAATAATTTTACCAACTTATAACTTTTTTTTTTTCTAAAAAAAATCTATTAACTATTACTAAAATAAGTCATTCTTACATCAATCATTTTGGACATATGTCAAGCTATCATTAAAAAATTTCCCGCCAATACAATATATGGTGTCAGCTTTAATTTTTTATTTTCTTATTCTACTTAGCTTATTTTTTGGAAGTACATTGTATAGTTGTTTCTTTAAACTAAATTAATTCATTAATAAAAAAAACCATACAACATCTATGGTTTATAGTTTTGTTGGGAATAACATGCATCATTAATATATAATATAATGTATACTATGTTAAATATTTTTAACCCAACTAATCAAAAATAATTTTTTTTAAATTATAGTTTTAATAATTTTTGCCTTATTATTTCATCTTCTTATATGCATTGCATTTGTTTATTATATATGAGTTGTCTCGTTTTTATATAATATGACAAATTAATTATAAAAAAAAATTAATACTAATCTTGTCGATTGGTTTCAAAAATAAATAAATAAATAAATAAATAAATAAATAAAAAAATCTGGTCGAATAATAAAGCAGTTTTCTATAAAAATCATCACAATCTCACTGTTTGAAACAAATTGCCAAAACATCCTCCCTTTTCTTCCATCCTTTGTCCAAATAACCGACCTCAAAAATGGACCTTCGACAATCAATCACCGACCAAACGGACGTCTCCCTATCCCTCACATCACACGTATCATCAATCGAGGCAACCAACACCAACCTGGTTCTCTCACCATTATCACTCCATGTCGTACTGAGCCTCATCGCAGCCGGGTCATCCGGGTCAACCCGTGATCAGGTTCTCTCGTACCTTAAGTCCAAATCTTCCGACGATCTCAATAAGCTTTCTTCTGAACTTGTGTCGCTTGTTTTCGCTGATGGTAGCGCTGCTGGTGGCCCGAAATTGAGTTTCGCAAATGGGGTTTGGGTTGATCAAACTCTTCCTCTTAAACCCACTTTTAAACAGATTGTTGATGATGTATATAAAGCTGCTTCTAATCAAGTCGATTTTTTAAACAAAGTATGTTTTCCCTTCTTTATGTTTGCTTGTTTTGTTTGATTTGTTTTGTTATCGTTTATTACTCCCTCCGTCTCTAAATGTTGTTCGTGGTTTGGGTTGGATACTTTTTTTTCGGAGACAATCATGGTACAAACGGGAAGAACTTTTAGAGACGGAGGGAGTAATGCATTTTGCGGGAATTTGTTGTTTCGGATAATATGTTAGAAGGAATGTTGGGGAATTGGTTGATGTGTTGGTTCTTATATTATGCAGAAATTAATTTACTGATATTTTCACTCTGATTTCTATTACTTGGTAATCAATTTTATTTGAGAGAAATCCCATTAATATTATGCTGATAGTATTTGTTGAATCTGGGAGGATTTTGTTCATTTCCGTGTTTGAGTTTTTAATTTTATGTTTGTTATATTGAATTTCTGATGCAAGTTATATGTAATTTTGTATGTACTAGCTGTAATTTACGGATTTTTATTTTTATTTTTTTTAATTTTATGAATTTATGGTGTACTTATTTTTGGTAATTATAACTGATAGAAATTTATTATTGCGGATTAACTCTGATTTAGTTGAACAAATTAGGTAGTTAATATCAAAGGTCTTAGTTTAAATGCAATTTTCCTAGATGATTGATTCATTATTTTGTGTGTGATTACTTGATTGTTTATAGGTGTAAGAGGCTTTGGGTATTCAAATTTTAATTATTTCTTTCCTCAAGCCTTAAGCAGTAGATAGGAATTGGTCTCTTGGATGAGAGGTGTGAGGGAAGGATATGGTTTTTATATGCAGTTTGATAGGAATTGGGTAAATTTTTCTATTGATGTTGAATATATAACACGATCAAAACCTCTGTATTATGAATGAAAATTCGAGTGATTTAGCTATTTTGTGCTGTTGTATACTTGTATGTCATTTGTTTTATAAGTGCTGTTTACTGAAAAGTAATTGCACTTTGGAATAGTTTACCTTGCTTAATATTGCTGAACAGTGAACACCGACTGTTGTGGCCTTATGGGTTGTTTCCATTTTCCAATCAGACTCTTTTAGGTAAGATTGTTGTTTAGCATGCAAACTTTTTGCTGTTTTATGTGATAGAAGTGATTTATTGACATAAGTTAATTATATGTGCTGATGCTTGATCATGCTATCATGGCAATTTAAATCTAAAAGCATTGTTTATTCATATGAGAATAACTACAACTCAAGAATAAAGCCTATGGACGGTACATTTGGCATTCATTGATTCCATTCTTTGATGCTCTTTTGAAAGACTCTCCTCTATTCTGGTAAGAATTGATGGGCGAATCAAACTTTTAAGATGTGATAAATAGATTCTTTTCTACATTGAATTTGGGAAACTTTGTTATCTCTTCCCCTTCTATTTTTTCCCAAAGAACACCTATTTTTGTGGCCATCACATTTTTTTTCCTTTGAAGCTTCTTAACTACATGTTATTGTGGGTTGTCATCAAGTTCAGTTGTGATATGAAGAGAACATGTAGACAATGCTTGATTATGTTAAGTAGTACGGAGTATGTTATCCATAGTATATGGCATTTTAGTCATTTAAGTATACAAACAAAATTATTTTACCATTTGGAATTTTAGCAAGGGAGTTTTGCGGGAGAGGGATATGGTATAAATTCTGATAAACTAAGATTGGAACTGGAAAATATTTTATCTTTTAGTAGATATTTTATAGCAAACATTATTCTGTTGCATACATGAGTCAATTATTACTACCTTAAAATTCACATTGACATGTAATTTATGATTCGAGATGATCTGAAAAAAAAACCTTGAGTAAAAGAATCAAAACTGCTGGAGCCTAAGGGAATTGTTTTTCTTTTTCTTTTTCTTTTTTCTTTTTTTCTTTTTTTTTTTTATTGGAGGCTTATAAAACAGCTGCCATCTGGCAGGGATATGCTCCAATGTTGGGGCTTGTGGAAGACCAGTTGTCCTTTGCCCCTTGCAACTTTACAAGTTAATAGTATCTATAGGTTTTGTGCTCGCAGCGTGTGAACTCTTATCTTTATAATTATTTTTTTTTGGTTTGGTTGTGTCTATTGTACTCTGTGACAATCATTCTGCATGCTGACAATTGACTGTCATGTCAAAAGAATTTACAGTGCAATGTTCAGTTTTCTCAAGTATTATTGCTTATTTGGCTTTAGTTAGGGGTTAGACTACATCGTGTTCCTAAAATTTTTTATTGTGCTTTAAATCTTCAAGTATGTTTTGTTCCATTAACCATTTATTAATTACTTGTATTAGGTTTGGCATTCATAATTTTGCTCCATAAACTCAGACACCTACTATGATTGAAATCATGACAAATGATATGCTATAATTTTGCTCCATAAACTCAGATGCCAACAATTCTTAGACACTGCCCTTATGAACACATTATTCACATGGTCACACCACTCACATGTAGTTCTTTTTATGTAGGCAGTTGAAGTGGCCTCTGATGTGAATTCGTGGGCTGAGAAGCAAACTAGTGGCCTTATCAAAGAGTTGCTGCCTCCTGGGTCTGTTGATAACACAACGAGGCTCATCTTTGCGAATTCAGTTTACTTCAAGGGAGCATGGAATGAGAAATTTGATGTGTCTAAAACAAAGGAAGACGACTTTCATCTTCTAAGTGGTAGCTCAGTTAAAGTGCCTTTTATGACTAGCAAGAAGAAACAGCTCATCAGAGCTTTTGATGGATTCAAAGTCCTTAGTCTTCCTTACAAACAAGGAGAAGACAAGCGACAATTTTCCATGTATATCTTCCTTCCAGATGTTAAAGATGGGCTTTCAGCTTTGATGCAGAAAGTAAGCTCTCAATCTGGTTTCTTAAATGAACACCTCCCATTCGAAAAAGTTGAAGTGGGTGATTTTAGGCTTCCTAGATTCAAGATTTCATTTGGATTTGAAGCTTCCAAGGTTTTAAAGGGCTTAGGAGTTGAATTGCCCTTTACAGGGGGTGGCCTAACTGAAATGGTAGACTCACCCGTGGCCAAAAATCTCTATGTATCGAGCATTTTCCAAAAATCCTTTATCGAAGTCAATGAGGAAGGTACCGAAGCAGCAGCTGCTTCTGCTGCTGTAATAGCTTTCAGGAGCTTAAGGATTCCATCGAAGTTGGACTTTGTGGCTGATCATCCATTTATGTTCCTTATAAGGGAAGACATGACTGGAGTTGTGCTATTTAGTGGGCATACTAAGAATCCTCTTGAGGATTAGAAAGTTCGAGTTCTGAAGCAATGTGATATAAGTATCAAAGAATAACACAACCATATCTCACTTAACTTTTTCACGCTTTCGTATGATTAAATAGTGCGTAGTTATCTATGTATTTTTATTGTGAGACGTTTTACATAATTTTTCTATTTACTGTAGGAGGTACTGTCTGTATTGTGCATGAGATCTTGGTGTTTGGCAGTTAATAATATAACTTTTGTTTGATGATAATACAGCTACTCTTATTATTTGCCAGGCAACTGACTGAGTACAACTAGCTATGGATTGTGCTTCCTCTTTAGTTTTTTGAATAGTTTCTCAGATCTCTCCATAAGAGGCTTTACCAGATGGCTTAGAATTGGTACCAGAATCTTAGAGTCTGCCATTAATTTTATTTTGTCGAAATTATGATTGATAGGCCATGGCTTCAGTTTGCAAGGCTGAATTGGCATGTATTGTTTTACCTTGTATGTGTTTTTTTTTTTTTTTTTTTGAAAGACTTGTACGTATCGTTTTAACTTGTCCCGTAAAGTAACCTTAATGATCGCTGCTGTTCTATCTGTATATTCTTATGCACCATCAATATGAATATGTCGATCTGGTATGGTTGTCAAAGGATTCTTTAAGTGAACCTAAAGGAAACCTGTTGGGGTCTCGGCTTGAGTTGCTGATTCGCTTCCTGCTTTAGAACAGCAATTGTAAATATTCTTTCTGATCGTCACAAGTTTTCTCAATTTCCTCCGTTATACATTTATACTTGACTACTTGAGAGTTGAGAGCACACGAAAACAAAAAAGATGATAAGTGTTTCTTATTGCCATCTACTATTACTATCTACACAAAACAAACTGGCATAAAATGGGAATATTCCTCTATTGCAAGTCTAAGAATGAGGATAAAACCCAATTAGTATTGGCTAGTCCCGTGACCGGCCGACTATGGCTGGTGCTTCATTGAGAGATGAACATTTACTATAACAAAAATAAACATTTTATAACTGAACATAATTTTTTACAAATTTGTCATTACAAAATCAATATATGTTCATTTGTGAATAATTTATTATTGAAAAGTATATTATTGATGTTCAGGTTAATATTATCAAAATGTTCATAATCATAAAAGTATATGTTTATTTGTATATCACGTTAATAAAAAAATATTATTTATTCATTTATATATTCAAAAATATGAAATTTGATGTTCATTGTATTACGGATGTTTTGTATTTCTCAATAATTAAATGTTTATTTTCATGCAATATGGTGTTTCATTCTTATAAAATAAATTTTCATATTCTTTTATAAACAATACAAATTTTTGTGTTTGTTTAGTTGTATAAAGTGTTTATTTATAGTAAAGTATGTTCAATCAACATTGTTTCAGGTATTTTTGGAATAACTTGAAAGGGGGATATGAATTCCCTCGGGAGACAGATCCGGAATGCAACACCCGTACGTCCTGAACACTTGCAAAACAACGAATCTCCGGTTTACCGGAGATCCGCCTCCGACGATCAAGTTAGTGACCGGCAACGGAATTTTAGAGAGAGAAAGTAGAGAGAAGTGAGAGCATATTTTTTAGCAGAGTGCCTTTGGGAATTGTGTAATCCTCTTCCCATCATAGAATTATGGGGTATTTATAGGGAAGTGGGAGATCATGCTTCTAGGGTTTCATAACCTAGGAAGATCGACTACCTTATACGTGGTTGACACGTGTATTAGGGTTTGCTTCATGCTAGGAATGTTTTCTTTAATGGGCTTTAAGCCCTTCTTTTTCTGATTCTTTAGGCTACGTGTCATGCTCATATTCACCTTTTTAGCTGAGCAGGATGCCACGGGTCGGCTTATAATTGGGCCACTTGTCGGCCTCTCATTTGTCTATAAAAGGGGGTAAAAATACCCCTAAACATAAGCCCCTCGAGAGGGGTAATTTCTCTTCTTAAGAGGGATTATACCTCTCGAAAATGACTTTATAACTTCTTTGGATTCGACATCATGTCTAGTTCAATTAAAAAAGGTTTGATTAACTTGGATAATTTTTATACCTTGGCCGGTATGATATTTTTTAAGTAAATCAATCTTAATAATGATTGCCCTTGAACTAGACAGATGTCGAGCATTATACTTTTAAGCCCCACTTTGATTGTCTTGTGACTAATGGGTTACTTTAAATACCTTCTTACAAGGTTTGTTTGGCTATTAAGCTTTTCCAATTCCTCTCATTCATTCGAATGAGGTTTGCCCTATTTGGTCTATCCCTTCAAGGATCATTTTTGGACCTAGGCTTGTCTTGCCATTTGGAAAAATTTTGTGTCCCTTTTAGGCTCTATCTCAAATCTTTCTTTAATGGCCAATTAGGCTTAGAAGCTTCTTTTGCATTTGTTCGGCATTTGGTCTAGTGCAAAATAGAGAAGGTTTTGATTAACTTAGACTAGGCAAATGTCGAGAAACAATTAACACTTGTCGAGGGGCTTTGCCTAGTGTCTGTGCCGATTCAGATGTAGCATTTGTCGAGATTCTTAGTCTCGTTTTTATGCCGTGTGGGATGAATTTTCCTTTGTCTTTTATAAGCGTCCAACGATTTTTTAGTCATTTAGACTGACCTTTGAGAGGTCAATTGATTCTATCTTTTCGGCCGTCTTAATAACTTCAAGTTCTTGTTAATGAGAAGTTTTATCCTATGCCCTTGTCACATATGACTCACTTGGGCTTGGACTTTAATTGGGGCGAAAGATGACCATCTGTCACTTCTTGTCCTTGCCTTCGGAATTCTATTTGGCCCAAAAGACTTAGAATTCCTGCACTTTGGAGTACCTTTGAGATTTCTATTTGACATTTCTGCCGCCTAGAATCCTTGTACTTTGGGAGTTTAAGCTATACAATGTGATTTTCCAAGTAAATCTTCTCGGGATTATTCTCAGTGTTTTACCATTGTATTGGAAATTATACTCGGCAATGTTACCGTATGTATCTTCCATCTTGGCTCACTCCTTTCATAGAAGCTCGGCACATATGTCGTATTCCCCTTTTTTAAGACAAGTCTTACTCGGACTCATAAGGGTGCTGAATAGGTCAACCTCTTCTAGAGTTTTTTTGAACTTGTTCGGATGAGAAGGAGCCATTCAATATACGCTTGAACCGTATAAAGATCTATATATTTCCCTATTGAGGGAAGCTTATCCAGGTATTAATACGTTTTACGCTTATTGAGCCGTAGCCTTATGCTAAGGGACCTTTGTCTTGCATTTCATGAAGTGGCTACTCAATAAGGAATGTATGGACCTTAGTCTTTCCTTATTGCTTCAATTTAGGGGTAGCTTGTTTTTCAAAGACTCGAATAAGATGTGATGGCTAGCATTTGGTTTAGTGATCTAGTCATTTAATTATTAGAAGAAGCTGCCCTATCTTCTTTGATAGGCTTTCTTCTATCTTCGATTAACATTAATCGACTTGATTATATTGCATTGATACCCAACCTTGAAGCTATCTTGCGAGCAATAAATGTGCGTAGATGGTCGGACACTTAGTAGGCATCTTGAAATCATGGAGGGCCTACTCGGCCTAATTGTTTCCTTAAGCTTTCAAAATTTGTTGCCTTTGCGGTCTTTAGTAATAAGTTGAGGCCTAATGGTCCTCGTCCACTTGGATTTTCATAAGTGTCGCTTATCTTCCTAGAGGAAGGTTGTTTTCTCATTAGCTCGTCGGCACTATGACTCTTCCGACTTATCTTCCAAAAGGAAGATTGTTTGCTAAAGCTAGGCCTTTTGGCTCATGCGTCGGCTAGCTCGATCACTTGCTTTGTTGTGCACTAAGCTTTGCTATCTTTTGAGTACTAGCCCCTATCCATTAGGACTTTACGCTTGGTTTGCCTCATGGCCGCTTGATTGTTTTCGGACAGGCCTGATCTTGGTGCTCGGTTCACTTTGTTGCTGGACGACTCTCAAGAGGCCCAACTTCAAATATTCCATGCTGGCATACAGCTGATTACATGATTTGGCTAAGACCTTAAAGCCTTGACATTGATGTTGCTAGATGCTCGTAGTAGATTTATCATCACATTGCTATGCACGAGTTTGGTTGCCCATGATGCCTTTTGGTCAAGCATGAGTTAGCTAGCTACTCGGTACGGATGCCATTCGACTGGAACATACTAAGTCTGAACGAATCTTTTGCTGCCCCTTGCCCTTTGTACAAGCCTTAGGACTCTGCATTTGGCAGCTTGGCAAGTGTGCCGCTTGAATAGGCATATACACCTTGTTCAATCGGCTGCAAGCAACATGGTTGGCTGCTGTTTAGCCCTTGCTCTCGCAAAAGGCTCTCTTGCTTATCATTTGTCGTCATTCGACCATCTTCGGCAGTTCCACTTGGGCAAAGGTTAGCTTGTATGCTTTAATTTTATAGTTGGCTCTTAAATGTCGAGCCAATTATCAAAGTTGGCACTTTAAGTTGTTCAGGTTTGAATGTCGCTTAGTTCCCGCACTTAATCCCGTCTTGCTACACTATCCTTCGACCTATATCCAGCGTTTCATGCCAAATACTTTGCAAATGGTGATTGTTCACAAGGGTCGAGGTCGTCTCTTACACCATCCGAGAGCTTGAACACAAGGGTCCAAGTTGGCCCTTAGGCTATCTGAGCAAGTTACAAGCTCGAAGAACCATTTAGGTGACATTCGACGATATAAGGTATATTACTCCTTAAGTTGTAGCTCGATAAGTTGCCGTCTTGCTAACTTGATCATAGACCAATCTACCGACGGTCAAATTGACACATATAGAAGTTGTAGTCCATTGAGTCAGCCTTATGTATGGGACAAATGATATGAGTTTTCATACGTTGAACGGTCTTGAAAGACCATTAGCAATAATGTTCCACTTATCGAGCTTTATGCACTAAGTGTCACTTGTTAAGATGCTTGGCGCCGCTTAGTTTGGCCATAAAACACGAGCTCGACATTCATGCCGTATATTTTCTAATAAGAGTCTCCTCATTTTTAGTCGTTGAGAATCGTAGTGGTGATCCATATCTCAAGGGCAGCTCGACCGTTGTATGCGCTAAGTTGCCTATCCAATTTACTCGGCCAATTAAGTATGCCAAATGAAAGTTGGAAGGTGATTCTGTAACACCCCGTTCTTTTAGAACTGAAAGCTTTAGCGAAAATACGCCAGAACGGGAGGCTACTTAACTTTGATTGGCAAAGTTAAGCTTTACCTAGGTCTAAAAGTTAAATTTAAGTCATTCAAACATCCAAACTAATTTGTTTTAACTTAAGCGCAAACTAAGTGAAGAAAAAGACAATAACAAATGAACTTAAACATAGGCAAATCAATTACATTCAAAAGCCAAGAGCAGAACAACCCTTATCGGCCAAACTGAAATCAAACTAAACCAAATTCAAAGCACTTAAACAAACAACTAACAACAAGGCATACAAGCCCAAAAGTTGGTTTCTAAACTCTCAATTCCCAACCCATCGTCACATAGATCAAATAAACAAATAAAACCTGCAAATTACAACAACGTTTCACAATCAGTGGGGAGAAACTAGCACTTCTCCCTCAAATCAGAAATAAAAGATTTAGACTTAAATTAATAAAGATAATCCACAATCACAAAGCACTTGCAAACTCTAATGAAATCACTTAAAACCATTTAACCATAAAACTATGAAATATTTCACAACAAACTTATAACGAAAAATCGATATTAAATCACTTAATTTCAATCATAATTTATATAAACTTCAAAATAAGTTATAATTTCATAGTTTCAATATTTCAAACTCAAAATATTCAAAACAGTAGAACTGGCATGGAGGGAACACTAGTGGCCTCACAATCCACTTCCTAAGGTTTGTCGGGACGAACCCCCGGTCATCTCGCAGAGACCGTGTCTAAGATTGGCCAACTCCCGGTTATGGGTTGATGCCTATAAGGTCTTACACACCCCCGGACGACAACAATTAACCCAGGTTGAGCTACCTAAGACTTACAATCAAGGTAGTTAGCATGTTCATTAACCATCGGGAAGTAACTCGGCTTCACACCCGACTATGGCCCCACACATTATTTAAAATTATTTAATATACTTAATATAATATATTTCACTTAAAAATCTGCAAATAGCCCAAATGGCCTTACGCTCAATTCAAACTGCATAGGAAAATCATATTTCTTAAATTCAATTGAAATTCCATTTCAAAACACATTTCAACTTAATAAACCACAAAAGAGTATCATCTGAGTTTGGGAATATAATTAATTATCGTAATCAACAATTAAGTGCATTCACAACTCTTGGCGAAGTCATGCTAAAGACAGTGTTATTCTTCTCTAAAGTATTACGACGTCGACAATACAATAACAACTCACACATATTCAAACACACATCAAAATATTTTACTTTAGGGGTTTATAATATCCAAAAATTCACACATAAGTTATTTAAAATATAATTTCAACTAATATATAATACTTACAATAAAAATTCCATAAATTCATTTGATAAAACCCAAAAATCCAAACTAGGATTTCATAAAACAATCAATATGGGCAGCAACATATAAGTCCAATATCATCATAAAATCCCAATCAAACATGCTTCAAATGCGAAATAAATATTAGGTCACATACATATATTCAATAGGCATCATACAAAACCATTTTAGAGTTAAAATTCTAGACTTAACATGCTTAAATAAGATCATAAACACAGCAGCCCCAATTTTTATTACAGCAGCACCATTCACACAAATCACCCCCAAAACCCACCTTAAACATGAAACCAAGCTTAGCCCATTATAGTAAACACTCTAAAAACATAATAGGACCTAATAAGCAAAAGTTTAAGCATTAAAACTAGGCAAAACATATAAATAACTAGCTCTAATTACACCCTACATGAACTGACATTTCAGCAGCATATAACTGCAATTAAATCACTTAAAAGCCAACCAAAACTCATAATTTAATTTAGCCCATTTATATACAATACCATAAAACATAGTAGGACATAATAGACACAAGTTTGAACACAAAAATTAAGCAATTCACTCTCTAATTTGCCATTTTCGTACAGCTCCTTAAGCTGTATACACAACAGTCCTCAACCTTAACTTTGTGCATGAAATTATACCAAAACTTGCCCCTAAACATGATCATATAATTTAGGGATGTTTCTAACATGATACTAACAATATTAGGGCAGAAGACATGGTAGAAACCTTCCATAAACATGCTGTAAACACTCAAACGTGGCAGCACTGATAAATAGATTTCAAAGCCCTAAAAATCATACAAAAACCCAATAAAACATCATGATAATATCATACAACAATTAAGCTTTTATATCAAACAAATCCAAGAAAGAAAAATATTATTTACACCCATAAAACTCAATAGAGTTCACACGAAATTCTGTCATAAACTCATGAACGAAAATCAGAATATAACCCAACTCTAATCATGATTTCTACCTATCAATTCAACCCTAAAACCTTGCATTTCTAATCTAAGGGAAGAAAGGCTAGTTACCTTGATGTATAGGCCACCAAAACTAGAAGATAAGGACAGCAACACCAAGCACAAACAGCAGCAACAATACGCACAAACACCCACCCAAGCAGCCCTCTTGAAAACCCTCAAAGTTCTTCGGTTCTGACAGTTCGAAAGAGGAGGAATTTGAGCACGAATTGGGGTGGGTTTAATCAGAAAATTAGGCTTTGAATTCCCCTTTAATTTTCCTTTGAAACTCACGAAAAAGATGGGGAGAAGAGAGGCGGGTTGCTGCATCTTTTGATGGACAAAATTGATGTGTTTTCGGCCTTCATTGTACGTGGATGGAGAAGGGGAAGTGAAAGGGTTTTTGGGCAACAAATTAATAGGTTTTATTAGGATTAATAAAGGTGAATATGGGGGGTTACTTAGGTGGAATATGGGCAGTAGGGAAGCCTTGTGGCTGCCGTGAAAAGGAAGGAGAAATGGGCCTAAATTTGGTCTCATGCAAACTCTAACTTAAGCTACACTAATGGGCTTGATTGAATGATTATTTGAGGCTTAAGAATGGGATTAAGGAAGCTAATAAACAAGCCTATCTTAATCTACTTAGTCATGAAAGTTTTAAGGCAAAACCTGACCCATAAACAAATCCTAGTAGGCCCAAAACTAGACTAAAAAAGGAAAGCAACGAAAAGCGAGTTGAAAATGCATTTAAAAACGATAATATAGATTATATTATTCATATCTCAACAATGATATAAATAATAATTACAACAATAATAATGAAATCAATAATTTAAATCACGACACAAAAATATATATAAAGTTCTTATTCACAGAAAAGAGACATAAGAGAAATAAGAAAAGTGAAACCAATAATATTATTCATCTATTATGACCTAGATAATAAAAGGGCATTATAATGAGTTTTATACATATAAAATAAAAGAATAGTTTATAAATAATATCAATTTGATAAACGAGTTGACGGAATCACCCAATATAACTTTATTTATCGATATTGATACCATTGAACGTAAAACGTCTTTACAAACTCAAATCATTTCATACCTATTAAATTGGCAGTTTAGTCCAGGAATCACCCATGATGACCCGTATCAATTTTAATAGGTTAAAATCAAAAATACAATTTTAGTGTAACACTTATTGAATTGATGCTTAAACTTAAGGAATCACCCTTTAAGGCTAATATCAACTCAGACAAGTCAAATATAATTAAAATGATTAAAAATCAAATATAAAACCTTTTAAATAATAACTTTCAATCGTTTCGTCAAAACATTATAATTAGGGTTTCAAAAGCTTGGGATAACCCTTAAATCAAAATAACGATTTTACTAATTAAATTAACATTTCAATTTAGAAATTGAGATTTAAATTAGAAATTAGGTTTAATAGGTTGAAATGCACATAAAATAGTGGTTTGAAAATACGGGGTGTTACAGATCCAATGCTGGAGGGCAGCTCGGCCTCCACCAATTAGCTCTGCACACGAGGGAGAGCTTTGCCATTTCACTTGTCCAAGTATGCCGAATACTAGCCATCAGTATCGTATAACAAAGTTCATGATTGCGATCCCTCAACTGTTATTGGCAACGTTGGCATTGGAATGTAAGGTAGGTAGGCTTCACTCAAGGGAAGCTCGGCCATCTTACTTATTAGTAGCTATGCTCTTGACTTAGAGTTGTCTTGCATGCCCATCTTCGTGAGATGACACGCAACGTCTACTCGGACAAGGTGTTTGTCGACCTTAGCTCTTGCCCTCTTGGCAATGGTTATGCCCTATGGCTCGACAATATTGTTCATGTCGCCTATTTTCTCAAAGCTAGCTTCATATCCATATTCAGCGAGGGAACCAGCCCGGCAAGGCAAAGGCCGTCTAGAAGTGTGAAGATGGTCCGTTGCTCAATAGCAGTTCGGCCACCTAGCTTGGCAAGGCAAAGACCGTCTAGAAATGAGAAGATGGTCCTTTGCTCAATAGCAGCTCGGCAAGGCAAAGGCCATCTAGAAATGAGAAGATGATCCTTTGCTCAATAGCAGCTCAGCCACCTACACCGGTTGCTTTGGCTGACCATCCATGCTTACTTGTACATGTTGGTTTCTCTTCAGCATTTTTGTCGTCTTGGGATGCAATGAGCAATCTCCATTTAATTTCATTCGGCACATTAATCATTACATGTCCGCCTGAAAGTCATTAGGAGCTCCTTTGCTCAATAGCAGCTCGGACACCTAATTTCATTCGGCACATTAGCTGAGTCATTACATGTTCGCTTGAAAGTGATTAGGAGGACCTTTGCTTAATAGTAGGTTGAACACTTAGCCATGGCCGACCATCTATGCACTCGGTTAGGCGGCTCGGAAAGGATGTTTTTTTTTTGTTTGCCTTAACGCTTAGTCGTACTATCGAATTATCTCATGTTTTTTTACTCGAAAAACGTTTAAGTGCCTTTTTAGGGCCTTAAACGAACACGGATGGCTAAAAAAGCATGTTGTTCACCGCATAGCAGTGTGTTGGACTTATTAGCCCGTTTCCCTTTTCGAAAATATATTTTTTGAGACATTCGGACAAGGACAAATTTTTGCCGATTTTTTTCAACATCAAGTAGAAGCAAGGGCGAGCTACTATTTTAGCTTGACCACCTGTCCGCTTAAAAGTCATTAGGAGGCCCTTTTCTCGAAGGTAGGTCGGACATGCTTGTGGCCGCACAAAGGCGCGTAGGAGGCTCTTTGCTCGTAGGCAGGTCGGAAACAAAGCCATGGTCGACCAACTATGCTTGCTAGGGCGAGATTTCCTATTTCACTCGTCTAAGAAGCTCGGTCAAGTTGCTCGCTGCATTAAAGTAGAAACATGGACCTTTTCTTAATAGCAGCTCGGCCATGTAGCAGCTCGACTAGGTTGCTGCTTTATTGACCGTATGGCTGCTTGATCACATGACTGCTCAACCATGGTACTCGGCCAGCAGCATACTCCCTACTATGGTGATGTCGACCATCAATGCTTAGGAGGGCTTGCCTTTTCTTTTTACTCGGCCAGCCTGCCTTGGCCGTATAAAATTCAGAACATGGAGCTTTGCACAAGAGCATCTCGACCAGCACCCAGCTCGGCCAGGCCATGCTACTCGGTTATCATTCAATTTTTTGGCGATCTTGTTCAATGCCGCCTAAAATCACGACGATGGACCATCACTATATGGCAGCTCAGCCACTAGCATATTTTTACTCACCCATGTTTAGCTTGCTTGGTCAGGTTGCTCAGCCGACCAGCTATTCTTTCATGGGCATGCTTTGCGATTTCATTCGGATAGGTTGCTGGCCGCCTAAAAGTTAGAACATGGTGCTTTGCTGAAGGGCAACTTAGCCTACACCCTAGCTTGCCTTTGCCCCTTTATTTTGTTATTATTTTTCTCGGCATGCATCCAACTCGATTAGGCTGCTATGTTGTTGTTGCCCCAGCTCGGCCAGGCTAGTGGCTGCTCAGCCAACTATGTTTGGCAGGGCATACTTCACTTTTTTGCAAGGGTAGCTTGCTTTGCCGGCTAAAATTGCATAGCTTGTGCTTTGGTCAAATGCAGATCGGCCAGGCTGCTGCTGCCGACCAGCAATGCTAAGGGGGGCTTGCCTCGTATTTTCACTCGGCCAGCCTACTCGGCGTTGTTATTTAGCCATGTTGTTCGTTTCTTAAGCTGCTTTGCCATCCCAAACATCGAGCTTTGAACATGTACTCGGTCAGGCAACTCGGACGGCTAATTAATAACAAAAATGATGTCACCGACTATAATAACATTATCCAGGCCAGTTCCTTAATGCTCGGCCGTTACATCAAATTATCTCATCTTTCTTGTCTCGAAGAAACATTTAAATGTTATTTTCGGGCCCTAAATGAACTCAGATAGGTAAAAAAGCCTATTAGTCACGGCATAGCAATGAGTTGGACTCATTAGCCCATTTCCGTTTCCGAAAATATATTTTATGAAGCATTCTAACACCGAGAGCTCGACTAGTATAAATCATTTCCCTTATTTTTGATGATTTTCTTCAATGTCAAGTAGAAGCAAGAAAGGAGAGCTTCTATTTTAGCTTGTCCACCTGTCTGCATGAAATTTATTAGATAGTCCCTTGCTCAAAGGCAGGTCAGACACCGAACTCGGCTACCGTCCGACCACCTATGCTCGCGAGGACCATCTTCGTGTTTTTACTCGGCCTTCATGGGCAATTCGGCCAGGCTGCTGGCCGCACAAATTGCAGAGGAGGTTCCTTGCTCGAAAACAGGTCGGACACTCAGCAAGGGCCCACCAACTATGCTTCCGAAGGCATGCTTTCCCATTTCACTCGGATAGGAAACTTGGCAAGGTTGCTGGCCGCCTAAATTTAAGAGCATGGTGGTTCTTTGAAGGGCAACTCGGCCAGGTAGCTTCCACCATGGTTGTTGCTCGGCCAGGTAGCTTGCTGCTCATTAGCTTGGCCAGGAAACTTGGTCAGGTTGCCTTGGTCAAGTTGCCATGCTTGCAAGGGTGAGGTTTCCCATTTCACTCGCCCATGCAGCTCGGCCATCTCTCTTTTTTTTTTCTTTTTTTAAAATCATAATAATGACTTCGGCTTTTCGTGCCACCCAAGTCTTGTCGATCTTCAAGAGTTCATCTCGTTCTCTTAACAATGACGATTTTGGGATTATTACAACTTTGCCCTCGCATTGGGCTACATTTGTAACGAAATGTTCTATTTCTTGAGTTGATGTTCAATTATGGCTAAGTGCCATTCCAAATGTGTCTCCCCACAGACGACGCCAAATATTTTAGAGATTTTTGGAATAACCTGAAAGGGGGGTATGAATTCCCTCGGGAGACAGACCGGAATACAACACCCATATGGCCTGAACACCTCCAAAACAACGAATCTCCGGTTTACCGAAGATCTGCCTCCGATGATCAAGTTAGTGACCGGCAACGGAATTTTAGAGAGAGAAAGTAGAGAGAAGTGAGAGCCTATTTTTGGGCAGAGTGCCTTTGAGAATTGTGTAGTCCTCTTCCCATCATGAAATTTTGGGGTATTTATAGGGAAGTGGGAGATCATGCTCCTAGGGTTTCATAACCTAGGAAGATCGTCTGCCCTATACGTGGTTGACACGTGTATTAGGGTTTGCTTCATGCTAGGTATGTTTTCTTTAGTGGGCTTTGAGCCCTTCATTTTCTAATATCTCTCTTTAGGCCACGTGTCATGCTTATATGGGCCTTTTTAGCTGAATAAGATGCCACTGGTTGGCTTATAATTGGGCCACTTGTCGGCCTCTCATTTGTCTATAAAAGGGGGTAAAAATATCCTTAAACAAACATTAATTAATAATGTTAGACAATAGATTTTTGTTCATTTTTTTTAAAAAAAAACATATTGTTGATTTATTTCATTGGTATTAAATCATATGTTTCAGCAAATTGCAAGACATCCATTCAAGAGAATTGAAAAAATTCAGGTATTTTTTTTAACAAATGTTG